GCAACATACCCGCGTCCTGAACAACGAGCACATTCGCATCCAGGGCAGAGAGGATGGCCTTCACGTTCTCACCATCGCGACCGTCGATTGGGATGTACACCATTCCGATTTTTGCGGCTGCCCAGAGGAACAACGCCCATTCCGCCGAGTTCCAGAAGATCGCTGCCATATACATCCCTGGTTGACAACCGAAAATGGTGAGGTATTTGGCGAGATTTCCGGCCAGTTTGTGCAGAGTAGCAAAGGTCCATCTCAGGCATGGGCCGTCATCAGGATAGCGGCAAGGCGCTATAATGCCATTTGGGTCGGTGAACTGCCATTGGGACACCAGGGCAGTTCTTTCCGGAAATCTGGTCGAAGATGTGCAAAGGAGGTCCCACAAGGTCTGCTCCAAGTCGGCAATGCTGGATCCGTAAACTTCAGCACGGCTTCCTGTCGCCTGCTCATCTTTTGCACGGAGAGCCATCCTAGCCGTATAGAGGTCTCCTTGACTTAACCAAGGCAGCATGTGTTTGGGATGACCCAGGGTATAGGTGAATAAGGGATGGCCTAAGGTTTGAACCAGACCAGACACCCGGGAGAATATATGCGGCCAATTCGTTCAGGTCCTGCTGGCCTGGACGCGGCACTACCAGAAACAAGGCATTCTGATCCCAAACTTGAAGGTATGAAGCCGGTGAGGTTGGACGATAACCGAACAAAGACCCCCGGAAATTAAGAAGCAGGGAGGCATATTGGCCGATGCATCGAGTGACTTCATGTTGCTACTACGAAGTATGGTGATCACTGATGGGCCCGAGCAGGCTGCAGCTTGCGCGGGTTCCTTGTGCACGGTCAACCGTATCCTCTCCCAACACATCGCTTCTGGCAGGTACTGAGAGTTTGAACACCCCCTTCACCAACGCCTTCCATCATGTCCAGCCACAAGCTTCAATCTATTTTGGGACACGCAAAACTTCCTTGAGTGCGAAGCTAGAATGGGACGCTAGTCTTGGGCATCCTAATGATGCAAGGGAAATCCCGTAGCTGTGTCATATGGTCGATAGTTGTAAGGTGCACATCCGAATGCACCTCTGATGCCCTGGACGATCTTGAACAGGCACTTGCACGCCACTCGCAAGAGTGGCCAACCAGATTTAAGGTACGCAGTCGTACAGCAGGAGCGATGGTTGTTCGGCGGTGTTAACCTTGTTCGCCCGAGCGAGCGAGGGAGCAAGGGCGCAAAATGAAGGCTGGGCACGGTGCCATGCTCGGTGATTGGTTCAGGGCGAGAGCATTGCAGCATCTGACAGGCATCCAATACGAGAAACATCAATCCTTGGCGTGAAACACCTGAATATGTTCAGCTCTCGCCCATTGCGCCGTGCCATCGGGCCCAATGGTTGCACAAGATCATGTTCTGCTCCCGGGACGCATCATCTCACAAGCAATCAGCCTCAATCAAAGCGTGCTGCCGTTGCCGATGACGCCGGTGCCCGGGCTGTGACACGTTCCGTCCCTGTGTCCAACCTCACGCAAGCTTTAGCAGTTTGTTCGCAACTGAAGCGGCCACTCCCGAGTGGAACCATGAACTTGGGATCAAGAAGGCAACACCAGAAAGCTCCCATTGACGCTGCGAGAATGCTCTCGGGTCTCACTGCACGCACCATGTTCACACTTCGAGGCTAAGGAACCTTGAAGGTTGAGCCAAGGTGTGATTATGGTGTTGAAGAGCAAAGGGCCGTCTCTGAATGCCCATCGAACGCAACCTCCATATAAGGCTTAATTTCGATTTCGCACGAGGCGGTTCTTGGGTCGTTCGACAGGGTCACGAGTCTTAGTTGTATCGACGCTATCCCGCTCATACACGCCCCGACATGAAGGACCGGCAGGCATGCATGGGACACAATCGCTTGGTGTCTCCCCAGGACCAGCTACATGTAAGAATCATTCGTTCCAGATAAAAAGGCTCCTTTCAGAGTCGGCAACTGGTAATATGAACCTGTCAAAACGCAATGCATGTTGCCGCATAATCATCAATTGTATTTCCAGTCCGGTTCCATTCAGTCGGGACCGGAGTCTCCGAAGACATGTTCGCACATCCACCCATGCTGCAACACTGCGTGACGGTAAGACAAATCCTCTACGAAGGCTTGTCTCACAGTCCGAGCATGCATATCCTAGAGAGCCTGCAAAAATTGATGGATAATATGTGTTGCCCCCTGCTTCGAAGAGGACAGTTCAGGAATCGGGAAAATTATCACTGTTTTGTAACACGACTGCATTCAAGCGCATTGTATTGGCTCACTGAGTACACAAACGAATGGATTATTGGGCACTATACCACGTACATACGTCTAAAAGTTGAAAGAAAGGGTTCTGGGTGTCACCTTAGGTTCAGCGAAGCCCGACCAATCTCGGGCAGTGACAATGCCCGCCACACGGGCTATCCCACGGCCAGTGGACCTGTGAGTCATCTGTTCGGATGTGTCTTGAACATGTGACCTGCTCTACCTGCATGTGATTCCAGTGCTTGAGGAGCCGTTAGTCTTGGAGGGCGACAGGCCGTTGCTCAATGTCGCTACGAAATGGCTCGGTTGAGAGACTAAAAGGGCCCAAATGACGCAGGGAGTTCAGTTTCAGTTTCATCAGAGAGTACTTACATCGAGTTCGGACGGACTTATCTCGTACCCTCTAAATTCACTCTTAAACTTTCTACCTAGCTGAGGATCAAATGGGAGAGAGGCGTGAACAAATAGCTCAGCTAAGGCAGCAATTGGTACATGTACTCAGATACCTTGTTGAAGACACGTACCGACAGCCGCCATCTCGCAAGGTTGATGGTATCGCACAGATTCTTTCAATTTATTTATTCTCGTCTCCCCGGGATCGGTGGCACTCGAAATCTCGTACATTCCGCCTCGGCTGACGGGCCATATTGAAAGGGCCGGACCGTACGCCGAACCACGGCCCATTCCAAATTCGACTCACCCGCACATGGCGCCATCCATGTTTGTAAGACGTCGTAAGCATTGAAAGAATCCATCACACTCACAGAATTGAAGGTCTGAGGCATGGCTATGAAAGGGTCACTGTCTCTATTTGCATACCAAATGGTGCCACCTTCTGGTCTAATATTACCATTCGTCGTTGAATTCATGACCTCATCATACGCAGCATGCAGCTGCATCTCGTTAAACTCTGGCCAGCCCTTGTCATATTAGTCATGTTGATAACTGTGTTTTCTTTGCGCTGGGCGTGGACACGGCGAGTTCAGAATGATTTCGCCAGATCGAAGGGATGCCTGCCGCCGCAAAGCAAAGTACCTGTCAAGGATCCAATCCTTGGCCTCGACTTCATTTACGATGCGATCTTCAATAAGCCAGCAGAGAAGCTCCTCGAGGAAACGCTTGCACAATTTCGAAAACTCGGTACGACATTCATTATGAGTCGCTGGGCCATGAGCGTGTTTTACACCTGCGACAGCCTGAACATCAAGCAAATATTGGCCGGCTCGTTTGAGGACTTCGGACTCCCTGATGCGCGGATTGCGGCCCTAAGCTCCTTCGTGGGAGACGGAATATTCACATTGGACAATGAGCAATGGTACCATACGAGGGTGTCTCTAAAACCAATGGTGGCGAAGGTGGACAAGGAGGCAATCCATGCCATTCTCGAGCACAATTTCCAGGCTGCGCTCCGCCTGATCCCCACTGACAACTCGGCCGTCGATCTTCAAGACATGTTCTTCCGCCTTGTCATGGACTTTGCAACCGAGCATCTCACGGGGAATTCCGCACGCATGCTTTCAAATGACGGCACAGGAGGCGTGCGAGCAAAGCAATTTGTCGCCGACTACCTGACATGCTCAACCGAAGTGATTGCGCGCCTGAGTCTTGGACCCCTCCAACACTTCAGAGTCAACAGGACTGCCAACGGGGCCAAGTTGGCGGTTTTCAGATTTCTCGATTCGTTCATTGACGACTCGCTCCGGAAACGCGCAGCGGAAGGGTTGGTCGGCCGGGAAGACTTTCTAAGCCAGCTCATGGCGATGACCACCGACCGCAAAGTCTTGAGAAATCAGCTGTTGCACATTCTGGTCGCCACTCGAGATACCGTGGCAAGTACGCTAAGCAATATGTTCTTCATGCTTGCCCGATCCCCGCAGGCTTGGGAGGCCCTGCGATTGGAGGTGATGTCTACTGCCGGCACGGAAGCTCCAACCGCGGGTCGCGTGAAACAGATCAAGTATGTGCGCTGGTGTATCAACGAATGTGAGTTACAGCGACCGAAGATGGCGCCATCGGCTTTTGCTAACATCGAAAGCCTTACGACTGCATCCTGTCATTCCTGTGGGCGGCCGACAGGCGAGAAGACACACAGTCCTTCCGCATGGTGGCGGATCAGACGGAAACTCGCCCCTGTTGGTACCAAGAGGAACCATAGTCATGTTCAACATGTATGCCATGCATCGCGATGAGCGGGTCTTCGGTGCCGATGTCGAGGCGTTCAAACCAGAGAGGTGGGAGAACTTGCGTCCAGGGTGGGCATATCTGCCCTTCAGCGGCGGCCCGCGGATCTGCATGGGTCGTGAGTTCATGAGCTAACAACTCTCTGCAAGACGCGCGCTGACTTTACACTGTCTATAGAGCACATTGCGCTCACAGTAATCCAATACATCCTTGTGAGGATGGCACAGACTTTTTCATCGATCGAAGGTGTAGGTGCGGACGAGTGGGTGGAACAGTACGCGCTAGCAACTACGTGTCGGGGAGGAGTTCATGTCAAACTGCAGAAGGCGTAACGCGATGGAGAGAATTGCGGATCAATAATTTCGGATCACCTTTCATCATGTAGTGTTATGGGATAAACGATTTTGCCCCATCGAGTGGCACGTAAACGCTCAGATGGGTTTGAGGCAGGTACGTCTGGGTCAAAACGAGATGCTGGCGACGGAGGTTGGTTGGCCCACAAATAGGGCGTATATGCCCGAATAAGTGTCCTCAGACTATACCTGTCAAGGCAGAGTGGCCGAGTGGTCTATGGCGACGGTCTCAAGAGCATGTTTTCTATGCGCTTTCATCTGCCCAAAGCAGTGTTCCGTTCACGAAAGTGGCCGGGGTTCGAATCCCCGCTCTGTCATACATTTTTGCACTTTTCCCCCATTTCGTTGTGATACTTGATTGAGTGTATTTTTTTCCCTCTTCTTTTTTCTGGCTTGACTTCTTCGTCAACGAGTGTCGAACTGTGTGCGATTGCAATGGCTGGTGCGGGAGGCGGGATTCTGCTTCTGACTCACAAAGTGGGATCAAGGATCAGTTGATGGCGAAGAGCTGCAAAGATCGGCATCAATTGTCGGCCCTCCACAGGCAGTAAAGGTTTCACAAGAGGTTAACGTGGAATCTGATCAGGTGGCAGGACGGCAGTGATCTTTGCAACATGCCTCGTCCAAGTGCCCGGCTCGCGGTTGATTGTCGCGAGGACAGATCGCCCGTCGCATCCGTCCCGGGCTCTGCCTATCTTGCACAACTGGTACTCCGAAAGTGGGACCAGTTTTGGGACCCCCGTGATGGTGCAGAATCAAGAGACTTAATGACTTGTGTGGGCCTTTGGCGTGTGATATGCATCGCGTCTAGGACTCGGTCTGGCAGGACGTCTGTCGAGTTCAGATTCTTTACGTCGAAAATTTAAAGTCGCAGTTTGCCAGTGAACCTCTTTCATGAGTTCTCACATATAGCAGCCATTTCTAGTATAGAGTCCTTGACTGGCTACACACAACGATCCATATTCTCCGTACGCCCTCATGTTTTAGTCGAACTGTAACGGTCCCTCCAGACAAAAATACCGACGATTCGGCGTTCAGGAGGCGACAAGGTATCCTACGAACGCGGGCCGTCTGTAATCTGTGGGAACGGTACGTCTGATCATGGAGGTACCAGGCTCAGGATAGAAATACTGTATCGGGTTCGCAGGTTTTGTCCAGTGCGGACGACAGAAGCCGTTGCAGCCATGCTGGCTGAAGAATGAGCTGATTCCTTCTGGGCCGAGGTCCGTCACGCCGAAGTCGCGATTTCGAGACAGGATGACAGGGTCGGAGAGAACGACCTCGCGCTGATAGATGCCGCCTTGGAGATCACACAAGACGAAGTTCCCGCCGGTGACATGGTAGCTGAAGTGGCTCAAAGCTTGCATGACCTCCCCCCATGCCGTGGAATCATCGTTCCATCCAGAGTTACTGTTGAACTTTTCGTAATTTTCAATGAAAGGTTCAGCGAGAGTCTTCTGCCCTGCCCAGTCATCGTCAAACGCCGTTATTTTTTCGAATTGCCAGACCGCCGGCACGTTGATCTTGATGGCTTTGTTGACCAAATTCAGCTGATTGAATCTGTTGAAAATCTCCAAAGCCTTGTCGACGGCCTTGACATCGAGCGTGAAGTAATCATCGGAGAAGACAGCGCCGGTCTTGAACCACTTGACGACGCACGCTTCGCCCTGTCGCGGGCCCGAGATGTAGGTACCCTTGGCCACATAGCGGAAAGCACCTTGCGCAAAGGGATTCTCGAGGGCATAGTAGGGAATTCTCGCCCTCTCGGAATTATTGTATCGGCCACTGTCGGACTGGCGAGCTGCCGGGGTGTCGGAGTGATGGCCGTGGACACATGCTGCGCACCGCGATACGCCAGAAGGCTTGGAGTACTGGTTTGCCGTGTACGACGATTGGGGGAGATTCCGGCGACAGGCGGCACAAGTGCGCATGGCCGCGGGCATGTTGTCACCGAGACTCGAAGAGCAGGAATGCCGGGGTACATACGAAGTACGTACTGCGTAGTCCGTATATGAAGGAGAATGTGGGTTTGCTGAGGTTTAGGTTCGCGATGGCTGCGATGATCAAATTCAGGGGTCGTTTGCTCCCGTGAGTCCTGCACTGTCCTGGTACATACAGGTACCCTTGACACCCCTGTGCGTCGTATCTAAGGTAGTTCTCGTCTCATTTCGCTTGGGGGCCCGGTGTGGAAAGACACGGTGAGGAAAGAACGAAGAAGGCGTAGGTACTTCGTAATGACAACAACTTTGTGAGGAGCAGTGGAGGAGGCAGCACTCGAGAATATGCTGAACACCTAGACAGGTACTCGTGCACGAACATGGATGGTGAACCACATGGCATCGCTAATGCTTTGAATTGCTAGATTTGCCGTTTGCACGGATGCTGCGCTGCGTTCATTTCCCCGGTAGCGTTGCGCCACTCAGGCTGTGCCGCCGCATTGACAGAAGCACGGCCCCGGACCCTGCCATCATTCCTTATATCTAGGGAAGTTCCACCTTGTGGCTATCGATCTGGCGTTTGCGTCATTGGCAATGCGCTCGTCAACAATGACAACTTGAACCGCTATTCTGCGCTCGGTGTCGCTCTGGTTGGGCACGTCATCCTTCGACCACCAGATTTTCAAAAAATCCAATCTGTTACCCGTTCTGTGGAAATAAAGGTCCGCATGGTCGGGCTCGTAAGTGGCGTCGTGATGGCGATGAAACGCCATGATAACGTGGTATTCGCCAGAGCCCCTGTGATGAAGGCAATGAGGCCGGGTTCCAGGGCGTAGCCTCATGACGCCTTGCACCCTTCCATTCCCGTGCCTCAGCCATTGTCTGCCGATCAGACGAGAGTGGGCCAGACGCCAGAGAATGCGGTACCTGTCCGCCAGCTGCATGTGGCGGTCAAGACACGCAAGCAGCCTGTTGCATCGTTGGCGAAGTAGCCTCGCCGAAGAGTCCGTGATGAGAAACATCCAATCGAGCACCGCGGGTGTCCAGCCACCCGGGTTGTTGCTGGACCAACGGCGGTATCGGTCGGTGTGACGAAGGACTTCTACCTGCAGGTCTCCCCGGCGGGAAATGTGGCCTGCCGCCTCGAGATATATCTGCTGCATCCTTTCTGCGATCTTGTCTCGGACTGGGATGAGTTGTGGGTTGTTGTACGGCAGCCTTGCCAAATCCCCGCACAGGCGGGACAGTTGAGCAGAGACTGTGGCAAAGTACGCGGTCATGCGGCCCGTAAGGCATCTCGGGGGTCGGGGAAGATTGCGATCGGGAACCATCTTGGAAGCTGCTGGCGCACGTGGTTAGGCTATGAAAGAAATCCGCAACGGGGCGGTAGGTCTTACATCCAGACATAAAAAGGGACACAGAGATGGAGAGAGTGTTATTGTGAACGTCAAGTGAGTTTTACTCACGGCTGAGAGATCTCCTTCACGATGTGCGAGGGCACAGCCGTCCCCAATGCTCTCGGCTGAGGGGCGACGAGCCCTTATGCCATGCGCAGTCTTGCTCAGGGGGCCGTCTCCTTGTCTCCATTTTGGTATGCATTACAGGTAGTTGCTGCTGGTGCAGAGGCATATACACTAGCTTGATCGAATGGGAGCGCCTGAGCCCGCTTAGGTTGAAGTTTATGAGTCTCGGGCAAGGTAAGTCGCGATATTAAAAAAAAAACAGCCCTAGAAAATAAGAACAGTACTTGAGCGAGACCCCTCCGGTCACCTTGGCTACGAAGCAAATAAGAGTGTTCCTATCGATAAACATTGATACGCATGCCTCCTCTGTACTGCCTGCCCAATCCCCATGGATGTCAATAGCAGTATACGGACACTCGATGGCCTGGCAGCTTGATGCTCTGCATTAGCTGCAGGATGGACCTCTATGGAGGCCACCGAAGGTGGACCCTCAGTCCCTCACAGGCCAAGGCTCAGAGTCCCAGTCTAATTTCGACAATCGACGATTCGACGATTCGACACCGCCTCGGGAACTGCCAGGCCAGGGTCTCCCGGGCCCCACTGTAAGGAGCAGAGCTGGAGGGGCATCGCCGCATCAGCAGCCCGAAGCGTCCAAGCCGCGGGGCATGGGCGAAAAAAAGTTGGAGGGGCCGACTGGAGTGGTGCACTGGTGGTGGTGTCGTAGAAATTTCTCGCGAGCCCTGCCGGCCGGCCCTCACTTTTCCTCCTTCCCTCCTCTTCTCTCTTCTCTTTCTTCTCTTGGGCACCCTGCCTCGCCTCGCTTCGCGCGTCGTCGCTTCGTGAATACGAATCCCGCTCCCGAGACATCCTGTCCGACCGACCCCAGACTCCATCGCCGACCCGCCGCCGCCCGCGCCCGCGCCACCAACCGTTTTCACCCAAACGCTAGTTAGGCGAAACGACCAGATCAAAGCACCCAAGATGGTTGAGAAGATCTACGTCACGTACAACGATGTGAGTGACCAGCCGGGCGCTGCTCGGCCGTGACACCGCCAGGGGCGCATCGCCTCGATGCCGAGAGGTCGAGACACGCGACCTCCGCGCACGCCGAGCGTCGAAGTCGAGTCACGCCGGTCGCTGACAGCCTGGCGTCACAGGTGCACAAGCTGTGCCAGGAGTCGGCGGACAAGCTGCTCGCCGACTTCCAGCCGCAGCTCTTGATCGCCATCGGCGGCGGCGGCTATGTCCCCGCCCGTATCCTGCGCTCGTTCCTCAAGAAGCCGGGGTCGCCCAACATCCCCATCCAGGCCATCGGCCTCAGCCTGTACGAGTCGCTCGGCGGCGAGGACGAGAACGTCGAGACCATCGGCACCAAGGTCACCCGCACGCAGTGGCTGGACCTGACCGCCCTGGGCGAGATGGAGAACCTGGTCGGCAAGCGCATCCTCATCGTCGACGAGGTTGACGACACCCGCACGACCCTCGAGTACGCCGTCAAGGAGCTCGAGAAGGACGTCGAGGCCGCCCGGAAGCGCATGGGCGGCGATCACCCTGAGACGGAGTTCAGCATCTTTGTCCTCCACGTGCGTTCCCCCCTCTCTCCCCGGAACTGCCCTCTTCCCACACTTGCTGGACGCCTTTGACTGACAATCGCCACAGAACAAGGACAAGACCAAGAAGGGCACCCTCCCCCACAACATGATCCAGACGCGCTACCAGGCTGCCCAGACGGTCGGTGACGTTTGGATCAACTACCCCTGGGAGGCGATCGACATTGACGAGCACGACCGGCTCGCCGCTGCTGCCAGGAAGTGAATTGGATAGACGTCGGAAGCCGCCTCATGACCGCAACGAAGGATTTACACGGTGGCGGACACAGACCTTTATGAGAGCAAATAGCTAGGTCTGGTGACTTGG